TTGTACTGTGGTGTTGCAGAGTTTGGTTTTCTTGTGATTGGGAAAGAGTTTGATCAGTATCCAAAGAGTCGAGTTCGCGATGTAAAACAATGGGAATGGTTTCTTGAGGAATCCACTAAAGGAAATAGCGATGAAGATGATGATGATGATGGAGATAAGAAAGGAAGGAAGGGATTAAGCAAGAAGAGAAGGAAAGGGAATGAGGACGATGATGATGATGATTGGAGTGAGGAAGATAAAGACTTGATGGTGAAATCGAAAAGAGTTGTGAGTCCAACTTACTCGACTAGATCCAAGAAGAAGACAAAGAAAGAAGACGTAAACGCAAGTAGTAGTCATGCTCAACGTGGAAGAGTAGATATGGAAGAAGACGAGGATGATGAAACATTGGGAGGTTTCATTGTTAGTGATGAAGAAGCTGAGTTAGAAGAAGAGGACGACGAACCAAATACAGATGATGATGATGAAGAAGAATTAGTGGAAGATGATGAAGATGAGGATGAGGATTAACTTGCTGGATTCTGGAATCTCCTTAAAACTTTTTTGAGTACACCTGATATGTAAGCAAGGCTAATCATCTTTATTACTAGAGTTACAATCTTTTGTTCATTCCTATGAATATGTGTCGTGTGTGTACGTGTTAGATGTTAGCGCCGTTGAAGTTAGTGGGGATAACGGCGCTAACAATGACGTTATCAAAAGATTCGACTTTTTTTTTCTGTTGCGTTTGAAAACAATGTGCTACAGATACAATTTATAGTTAGGGGTAAGATGCTGTAATTATTTGTGCCAAAAAAAGAAGAAGATGTTGTAATTATTCATAATAATAACGCAGTACATATTGTTTTTGCAAAAGCTCTGTGATACTAGTAAAACTATCTCATCATCTTTAATTTTTAGTTATTTTAATTAGATCTAAAATAAAAAGTAAATATATAACTAATTTATATCACTTACCAAATAGTCAAAATGATATTACAAATAACTAGGAAACCACCCGCACGAAAAATGATGTTTAATTTTTATATTTTAAAATTCTCTGTAATTTATATTAATTGATCAGTCACTTCGAATCATTTAATAAATTAACTATTTTGTATTGAGATAAAAATTTGAAAATTGATCTTATATACAAAATGAGTGAAAATATAATTTGTATTTGAAAATATGTAAAGTTAAATATTATGTGTTTAGCATAAGACTATTAAGTAATATAATTGTATTTAATTTTTTTTCTTTGTGGCCGTTTGAATTTTACAATTGCTTATGCTGTTGTATTTAGATTGTCAATTTTATTTTATTTTAAATTTTTTGATATCTTTGATATTATTTTTTTTTCTTGTTTTATTTTCTTTAGTAGCATTGGTTTCTTCTATCACTTGAATTATTATATAATTGTTCCTGCATATGATAATTTTAAATATTAATTTATGATTATACATCATAGTGTAGTAATTATTATAAATATGATATTTACTTGATTTTGAATCAAGTTTGTTGCAGATTTACCCAAAATATGGATCCTGTCTTTGTTGAATGTGGTTAATAAAACTGAATTTGCGTTATCTTCGACAAAAATCTCACGTTTATATCTATCTTAATGTGTTTGGTATTAATAATCTGTTGGTAATAAAATTACAAAACTTTGTTATTCTCTGGACCGTAAGATGCTAACAATATCTGGTTTTTGCATTTTTTGTATTTAAGTTTCTCATCCTTTTCTGAAATATTTTAGCGCAATGATTACATGATATGTAATTCCATCCATTTCTTGAATAATTTTCAATAATTTTACCTTCAAAGATAAACTTTTTTCTAACAATCAAAGTTGCACAATGAATTTAGATTGTAAATAATTATTAATTTATTAACAAATTTTTAAAATAAATTTAATGCTGGAGTTTGATCATGATCTCTAATTTAATAACATAGCATTTAGGATGTTGTATATGATGCTATAGTCTCACTTAAGCAAAGAAGTATTTATTAGGTTGTATCTTTTCATCAAATGGACTATTGAACCTTTATACTAAATTAATACTCGATAAGGAACCTCTATAAATTAATACTCGATAAATTAATAATCTCTGTAAATTAATACTCGATAAATTAATAATCTCTGTAAATTAATAAATTTCATCGGTTCCAACTTGGGCCGGTGTAAAATATGACACAAATCGATAAAATAATAAGATAATACTATTTTTAAAACTGCCATGTAAATATATGGTCCCACTAAAATCATAAATTAATAATCTATCTATATATAATATTATATAAGTACAATCTAACATTCTACTGTTGATTTTATATTTACTATAAAAATAATTTTATTTTTTTAAACATTTCAATATATTTTGATAGTATATAGTTAGGGGTTTTATATTTACTATAAAATACTTTTATTTTTAAACATTTCAATATATTTTGATAATATTTAGTTAATTATATCGAAAACCATGTAACAATTCTATGAAACAGAAAAATATACATCAAATAAGATAATAAAATAATATAAAAGTTAAATTTCTAAAATTTAAATAATGTACATATGCTAAAATCACATAGATTTTTTATTTTATAAATAAAAATGGAAAAAATTAAAAAAATATAAATAAGGAAAATTTAGTAAATTAATATTTCCATAAATTAATAAAATTTCAAAGTCCCAATATTATTAATTTATAGAGGTTTTACTGTATATAAATTAGAATGGACGTGAAACCGGAGAAACACACCAGACCTTCACCAGCGATATAATACTGGAATTTATACTTTAGTAAGACAAGAAAGACAACCGAAAGAAAACTAATATATGATGACCACAAAAGAAAAGATTGTCACCGGAGGGATGCCAATAAAGCTTCAATAAAATCATATTAATAAAACGTTACGGAACCACTACACTACTGTCAAGTCACCATTGTTGGAGAAAGATCACCATCAATAACGCTAATGATGAAAATGATAATTACATATATATCCATCATTCCTCTCACAAGTTAGTCTCTCTTGCATGTCTATGTGTCGAATAAGAGAATTGAAGTAAAACGCAATAAAACAGTATTGCACGAACAGTCTCTCTCGGGAGGATAAAGAGAGAAAAAAACGGTAAAGTATTGTAAGCAATTTTTAATTTTTAATTTTATTTTTCAAAATAATGTTGGATAATAAAATCAGCATGTGAAGATGAACCGGTAGCTGTAAAATTTTTACTGTAGAAATTAGTTTGTAAAATTTTTTGATTTAGATGTAAAAGATGTAGTTTTAAAATTTATTGTTACAGTAACATATTTTCTACAAGAAAAAATATGTGACTTTACAAAATAAGGATTTTACAACCATTTTTTTTGTTTTTGACTGTAGCTTTAAAAAATAAGATAAAGCATGATTGGTGATTTAAGTGCTGTAAATCTAAACTATTAAAACTAGAGTAAATAAAAAGTACTCCTTGTTTTCCACAAAAATTACATCACTATAATTAAAACACATAGCTTTGATTAATTGCTACCTTAATTTTCGCAGACCTGCTACAAATTTCTTTCGCCAGCCCATCAACTGCAAATTTTGTGGGCCTCCTCTATAGTTATTTCATTCCAAAATTGAAAATCATAAAAAAAATTGCCTACTTATTCGGAGGTATGCTTAATTACAAAATACGTTAACTAATTATTTTTTTTAATAAGAAAAACAACTTAATTAACATTTCATATTCCTACGCAGACGAATATCACAAAAGGATATCAAAATTCATGTTTGATTAAGTTGCACATTACATTTTCCTAATTTTTTCAACCGGATATTCTGTTTTTAAAATGGCTTAATTTTTTTTTGTAAAAGATAAAACGGCTAGATTTTACAAACATGTAATATGTTTTAATTTAATTAACATTTCCTATTGACTAGCACATCACGTTTTCCTAATTGTTTCAACCATATATTAATACTTTATAATATCACATCTTTACTAACTAATTAACGAAATACTATATTAATACATAGTTACAAGTTTTTGTGATACATTAACATAAACGAAATATGTTGTTTCATCCAAAATAAATTTTAATATATAACAAAAGAAAATTAAAAAAAAAGATTTTGGATGACCAATAAACTAAAGTACCAAAAATGAAAACCCTGAAATTTTTTTTTTCTTTCGATATTTTAATTATTGGAAATCTAATTACTTTGAACAATACACACCCATACCACAACTGAACAACATATGAAATTCTGAAATTATAAAAATAAGAAATTAAATTTAACACATTTTAAAAAACTAAAAACAAATAATTAAGAAAAATAAATATTTGCGCGGGTCAAAAGCTAATAAAAATTAAAGCTAAAGTCAACACTTACAACCTAACCAATCACCCTTTAGTCTGTTAATTATTAGACTAATGACATGTAAAAAAGAAAGTGATAGTATTACTACAAAAGTCAAAACCTATAGTATACACACGAAATAATCAGATATGATGACTAATGAAAAATTGCTCTCAGTTAATCAAACACGATAATGGTTCCAATAACATGTTATTCATACGAGAAGAATACAAATTTAATCGGCTGTACACACAAGCAAGTTCTTTCTCATTTAAAGTCTTTCACTTAAACAATCTCGGATAAGTTTCTGTAAAAGACTAAGAAACAAAAAAAAAAAGGTTTTCTTACCATTAGATTGGTTTGGATATGGTAATTTAGTTTTAATTTATTCTTGCAGACATCATATTAAATTTAAAAATCATTTTGATCTATATAATGAATCAAACGTTAAATTGATGAATACTAAGAATAATATCTATATTAAAAAAAAATCACGCAATTTTTTTTAAAAAGATTACATCTGTAAAATGTTATATTTATAGTAAGAAGAACTTGGTCGAACCATTAACTACCAAATCAGTGTTTGATCCAGTTTTCTTTTATTTTGGTCAAGGAAAAGCACTCATTCTGGTTCGGTTTTCTAATTTAAAAGATCAGAGTTTGGACTCGAAGACCTTAATTGTATCATGCCATGGGCTAGGGTTATAAAATTGGATATTTAAAGTAAAGGTGACCTCACATGTTATACTACGAACATTGATCTCAAACAACCGTAAAAATGAATCAAAACGATCTTCGATGACCACTTTTCTTTTGATTCCTTTAAAATCAATGCTCATATTAGAAACTAGATTTCAAATTGAAAAGTAAGTATATGGAAAAACACTTTCCTTTTTGGTAAACATTTTGAAAATATAAAACACTTTGATCAAACAAGCAAGACAATATAAAAGTTTTCTTTATAATATAATAATATAAAAAACGTTTTAGAGAGTAGTAAAGGAGTAACCAAAACCCTAAAATTAATTAAGGTCTTCACTCTTTAGGGAGATCTCGGTGCCTGCGCCTCCGCCTGCGCACATCAGTCTAATATTTTCGTACCAACAAAGACGACCAGGAACACAGCACCGGCGACAAGAGTCTGAACAAGGGTGGGAACAAGGGTGGTTTGGAAAACAAAGTAGAGGAGAAAACCTGCCGCATTAACACCAGACAGTAGACTAAGTAGCTCCATTAGGAATCTAAGCTTCCCAGAGACAAAAAACTTGGCAGCGATGTGCAAGGCCGCATACACAACAACGAGCATAATAAATACGAGGGGGAAGGCATATCTTACAGTGTGAGCTAGAAACTGGGGTAACATGGTTTTGCTTGCTCAAGACGAATCTTAGCGTTAGTATCAGCCACCGCTATCGAGAGAGCAAGCGAAGCAAGTGAGCTGGTAGTAACCACCACGAACTTTGCGGTAAAGAAGGGAAAGATTATGGAGATGAGCCAGTTTATGGAG